TATTCATCGATTAAATGAAGTTATGTCATTTGACTATTGGGTGTTCTGACACTGGAATCTGTCCTAAAATATTCGGAAAACCCTGTTGAAGAAAGCGTGAAAGGAAAGAATCCGATCAAAGCATGATTTCACCCAGAAAACCATCAGAGTAAATGAAAAGAAAGATGGGAAATTTAGGAGTACAGGAGATGGATGCTGGTGTTGTAGGTGTGGAGCTTACTCGCTCTTGGGCCAGCTTGCAGTGGGGTGGCACCATTTCTGCTCTGTTAGTCATCTCAAGTTTTTTACTTTTCTTGTTTCTAGGGTTCTTTTTACCTCTTCCACTTTTCTCTATGTTGTTCAAAGGTTTGTACGATCAATTCGTGTGTGAGGTACTAAGTAGGATGTGCATAGCTAAAGGGGTGTTGTTGAACTGAATTGCAAGTTCGCATTTTGGGCAAATTGCATTATTTAGACTTAAGATGGGAAACTGGCATTGAATTCATTTGAGATTGGCAGGTTGTATAGTTTTTAGCTTTACTTCCAAAGACCTTAATACTGTGGCTGTGTTATGTCCTGTTATTATCGAATTTAAGAGAAGAGGGGAAATTATGAAGTTGAATTTCCTCAATGTAAACTGTTGTGACAGCTGCATTTACTACATTTGGCTAGAGAAAGAACTCATAGGCTTCACTGAAATCAATCTGAAACCAAGTCTATATAGATTTTTCCTAATTAGAAAGGTGTAGTTTATTGGACCAAACTTCTCTTTTTCAAGGAAGAGATGTGCAGCTTGGATTCTTTTGGTATTGGGATTTATCTTGTTTCTCTTGGGGGCTTTCCTGATTCCTCAGGTGTCTTCTGTTTTTGTGATATTTTTATTTATATATTTTGTTTAGCAGCTTTTGGTTGTTGCTAGAAATTCCTTTCTTTTCTTTGTTTATAGCGGAAATTTATCCTTCTCAATTTTTATAAATAAAATTTTCAATTATTAAAATAATAAGAAAACATTGTGGACAGTTGGCATTTTCGAGTTTGCAACATTCAGCTATCTGATTTTGGATTTATTAACAACTAATAAGCTATCTGAGAAAACATCATGGATGGTTGGAATTGATGCATATTATGGTTGACTAAGATATATTACATCCTGTTAGGTGAATATTTTCTCTTCAATTTATACGCAGACTCTTCTAGTTTTGGTTTTTGTTATTAGAGATCAGGTTTACTAATGGATGCTGGTGAACTAATGCTGTTGTGACTCTAGACTAGCCAGTTGTGCAAATATTCTAATTCTTTAATGGAATAAGATATCGACCACAATATCAACTCTGCTTTACAAGACAAACTGGCTTTCCAGTTATTGTTTTATCCTTTGTTATGTCTTGAATTTTAGATTTTCTTTCAGTAAATGGTTTCAAAGATAGTGCATTAAGGAAAAGAATTAGCCTTTGGCCAATTAAAAAGAAAAAAAAGGAAAAAAGAAAGGAATTAGTGTCTTGTTTGAGCTTTTTTTTCTTATTCGAATATTTCTTTATTTTTTTTCAACAGGTTATTGTTACTCCTGAACCGAATAGGGCCGAGGTCACACATTCAGACTAACCTCCTTGTAATTTATCTCTTTATAAGTTTCCCAACTGCGCTCTTCAAAATCCTAAGGTTCTTGCTAATGTTCACTGCTTATGGTTAATTTAGGATCGATATTGTTTCATTCTATTTACTACAAAAACCAACTTACTGATGCAGGGGACAATTTGGTCGTTGGGTTGCATTGCTTGCTGTTGCCTTACACCTCTTCCTTCCTAAAACATTTCCAGGTTAGAAACTGGACTACAATACAATTAGCTGGATGGTTGTTAATATTTATGGAACAATATTGTAATTATTCCATCCATGCCCTGATTGTCATATCTGTTGCCTATATTTACAGTTTCTCGCTTTATCCTTTTTGTTATCACACCAGACTGGGTGGCTGATGGAGTGCGAGATAACATTGTTGGTGATATCCTTTGTCTCATAATTGGAGTTTTGCTTTGCATAGCAAAAATTTGTGAAATTGGAGGACTTTGGAATTTTGAATGTAGTTTTAATTGTTCTGCTTATTTTCTTGTTATATCTCTCTTGTTCCTGTTTACAATATTGTATCTGTGATTGGGAAGTCGATGTAGGTGGAGTTCCAGTGGAAGGAATATGTCTTCAATTTCTTGATTTGAACAATGCCTGCTCATGAGGCATACTTATTGAATGAGAATGAATTCCTCAAACAACAATTACTTAGCAGATTTCACCTTGTTAAATTCCTGACTTTCCTGTTGAACTGCTGTACCATAACTATTTATTAATGGTGGGTTGTCAACTCAAGGTTTTGAATGTCTCCTTCCACTTTTGAAGTCCTTAACCATATATGGAGGGGATACAGTTACTAACACTTAGGAGTTAGGAGCCTAATGGCTTTTGATGGGTTGTGGTTCAGACTCAAGTTTGATGGCTGGCTGGCTGCTCTGTCGACAGTGTTGTTAATAGCGCCCGTTATGGCACAATTGCGGCAGAGCGTAGCACTTTGAAGGTTTGCCGCTACAAAAACAGCTATAGCGTGGCAGTTTTTATAGCGGAAAGCAGACGCTGTTAATGCTTTTTGAATGCGTGGCAATTGGAAGGCTTGCCGTATGAAAACTAGCGGAAAGCTGACGGCCGGACGCTATTTATGGCTTTGAATGCGAGGCGCTTTGAAGGCCTGTTGTATGAAAACAGCCATAGGCCCATAGCATTGCAGTTTTACAGTGGAAACTGGAAAGCAGACGCGGTTGATGTTTTGGAAATTAAATGCGTGGGCTCGCCGCTATTGACGCTTTTGACTTAGGTCTTAGAAAATCTCATATTTAGCCTTTTTTTTATTTTGTTAATAGAATAAATTAATTGATTGCCTATAAAGTGAAAAAGTAGGGAGAGTAGAATTTATTGTATAAATAAGAAAGTGCATTTTTACTAATAATTTGACTAATTAGTCTCTTGCCTTTTCTTTAGTCTAACTTTTTTAATCTCTGAAAATCACTTTTTATTTCTTTATGAGGGTATTTTTGTTTTCTGGACAGTCAATTTCTTCGTCTTTCGGACTAGTTGTAGAACACGGTCTTTTTTTTTTTCTTGCCAATCGATCTCTTGATTTCCTTGCACTGGGGTTTTCTTCTTCTAATCTACTTTCTCGATTCTTCCTCCTGATTCTCACTTAACGATTCTTCCTCTTGATTCTCACTTAACGATTCTCTCTCAGTCGAAAGTTTGAGGGCAGAGCAGAGCAAAACACTGCTAATAGATGAACTGTCTGCGTCTCTTCTTCTGATCTTCCTTCTGATATTCTCGGGTTCACCTTCTCCGATTTTCCCTAATCAAAACCCTGAGTAGGGAACACTGATTTCGAAAGGTAAGCATCTTACTTCTCTTTAATTCTCTCTTTGTGAGTCTGCAATCTTCTACTATAATCTGAATATCCTACTATTTTCTTACTAAATTTTTTCTTAGAAAATGGTACTTGAATTGTCCGAAAAATGAAGGAATAAGGTTCACTTAGTCACAATAGAGCTCTACCGGAGCGTATTTACGACGCACGTTACTTTTTTGGTTCACACGCAGGTTTTGACGTTAGTAGTTGTCATATGTGATGTCTTGTTCCTACAAATAAAGTAGAATTAAATGGGAATTTCATGTGAGATAAAAAAAAAAAAAAAAAAAAAAAATAAGATTCTAACAAGTGAGGATTTAAGTCTGATTATCTTACTCTTTCAATCTGATTTAGTTGTGCTATTTCTAAATAAAGTTTTTAGATTTAGTTCTCTCAGTTTTTATTTTAATAACACATTAAATATTAATATTAAAATTTTATCCTTATCTCTATTAATGTATTAGGACTTTTTGTTTTGTTTAATTATAAGTAATGGGAAAAATGAAAGATAAATTCTAAATATTGTAATCAATAAATGAATTTCTTGTTAACCATAAGTGAATAAATTGGGACTACTAAACTGGACCGAATGAACTACTTTAATTTCGTAAGGGTTTTTTTTTTATTTTGTGCCAATTATGGTGTATTTATTGCACTTTTTTATTATAAATATACATAAAAAAATATAAAAATTGAAATTAATTTTAGTATGAGGTAAATTTAATTTGACAGTTGATAAATCAAAGATTAACTTTTATTTTTTTAATTTTTTTTAAAAGATAAAAGTTAATTTTTGATTTATTAACTGTCGAATTAAATTCACCTACCACTAAAATTAATATCAACTTTTATATTTAATTAGACAGTTGATAAATCAAATATTATTTTTTTAATACAAATTTATAATAAAAATATATATTTAATATATAAGAACGCATGCTAACGACCTAAATAGTTACTAGTTATCTCCGTCCGCTGGGAGTAATAAGTCTTGAGTTTGAGTCACATGACATAGGAGTGTGGTGAGATTAGAGATGAAAGATGATTACCTTCCATTGTGCAACTAAAATAAATATATATATATATATATATGTATGTATAAGAACACATGTTAAACAAACTCATTAATAGTTGAGTGATCCTAAATGAGTATAATGTTATATGATTCGTTGAATTCCAGCATGTTAGGCCCCTGGAAAGTTCCATCCTTTTCCCAAACTATCTTTTTCATTTGGCATGAGTTAGCATTCAGGAAAAGAAAAGGCACCAGTTGCTTAGTGCCCCGTTTTTTCTGATCTCATTTTCCAATATATCTCTTATGCTCATAGTGCATATTAGGCCTTTATTTGCTTGAGAATGTTATTTGTGTGGTTTTTGTTAATTATTTTATGTATTTTCCTATTTTTGAAGCAAAAAGTTTATTTATTTATTTTATTAAATATCTTTGTAGATTTTGTGTTTTTAATGACCACTATTTTAACAATAGCTGCTACACTATCATAGTGAATTTTTGCCTTCCGTTACTCGCTTGATAACCCACCTTTTGAGTTCTAGCTAATGCCATCCCAATAAGAAACCACTATAGTTTCCGCAAATGGTGTCTAGAGAATAGAGGGTGATGTCTTTCTGGCAGGCTGATACCAACCAATTGGATGTTGATTTCTTGTGGTTGGGAGCATCTTTTGATATAGACAGTTCTTACTATTCTCAATATTCTGGATGCATGAATAGGACAAGCCACCAGTATATAATATCAAAATGATATTGATATTATCCACAAAATGAAGTCAACTTTATGATTTCATTCTGCGAAATGAAATCAATTTATTATTCCCATAAAAAATATCTAAATCAAAATAAACAATGTCTGGGATGTTACAGGTCTGAAGACTCGTTTTATGTCTCCAAATTTTATGAGAAAGTTTGATATACCTGAACAAGTTGGCTAGAGCGACCGTGGACCAGGTTGGTTGGTAGTTTTCCAGGTAAGCTCCTATGAGGAACGTCAACATTGTGGACATCTTAGAATATAACCTCATCTCTCCACCAACATTTGGTTTTGGGAAGCCCTTCATGGAAATGGGTTACCGTTCTCTTCTTTCTCTTTTTATTGTATCCATATTTTGTTGCAACTGCTTGGTTCAGGCTCAGCAGCATTATGTTGGAAAGGCCACCACAAATTGCAGTAATCTAGATTCTTCAAGTACTGTTCTTGGATACTCCTGTAATGGCCGGAAGAGGAGTTGCCAGGGTTACCTCATCTTCAGATCCCAGCCCTCTTATGATACTGTTGCTTCCATTTCTTCACTCTTGTCTTCTAATTCATCTCAGCTTGCCCAAATAAATTCTGTTCTTGAGAATGCAACATTTGAGACAAACAAGCTGGTGATTGTTCCTGTCAACTGTTCCTGTTCCGGTCATTACTATCAGGCAAACTCTTCTTATTCTGTAGTCCACGGAGATACTGTTTTCTTGATTGCAAACAACACCTTTCAAGGCCTTTCAACCTGTCAAGCTATACATAATCAGAATCCGAAGTCTAAACAGAATTTGTTCTCTGGTACCAAAATTATGGTACCTCTTAGATGTGCTTGTCCAACAAAGAACCAAACTGCTGCTGGTATCAACTATCTCTTGAGCTACACAGTTGTTTCTGGTGATTATGTCTCTAGCATTAGTGAGAGATTTGCAGCAGATACTTGGGAGACACTTGAAGCTAATGGCCTTTCTGATCAAGATTCCATTATTTATGACTTCACTACGCTTTTAGTTCCCTTGCAGGATCCACCTTCAAGTTCTCAGACCGTGGCGCCCCCTCCACCGCCAGCTTCACCTAATCCTACACCTGCAAGCTCTCCCCCAAAGAAAAGCTCAAACAAGACATGGGTTTATATTGTTTCCGGAGTTGTTGCTGGAAGTGCTCTTCTATTAGTTTGTGGGGTGATCATTTTCTGTGCTGTAATCATTAGAAGGAAGAAGAAATCAGATTCAGTCATTGTCTTAGACAGTGTTGAAGCATGTGAAAAACCGGTGAAGAAGTTGGAGGATGAATCCGAGGACCTCTTGAGTAGTATAGAAAGTATAGCTCAGTCCCTCAAGGTGTACAAATTTGAAGAACTGCAATCTGCAACAGATAATTTCAGCACCAGTTTTTGGATTAAAGGATCTGTCCATCGCGGCATAATTAATGGTGATTATGCTGCCATCAAGAAAGTGAATGGAGAAGTGTCAAAGGAGATAAATTTATTAAACAAGATCAACCATTTCAATCTTATCCGCCTCTCTGGTGTTTCCTACAACGATGGACACTGGTATCTGGTTTATGAATTTGTTGTCAACGGACCATTAAGTGACTGGATCTACTACAACAATGGAAATGGAAAGTACTTGAATTGGACGCAGAGGATCCAGATTGCCTTGGATGTAGCAACAGGGCTTAACTATCTCCATAGCTTCACCAATCCGCCTTACATCCACAAGGATATAAAAAGCAGCAATGTTCTTCTTGATGGTGAATTAAGGGCAAAGATTGCAAATTTTACTCTAGCAAGGTCGGCAGCGGGGGAAGAAGGTGAGTTTGCATTGACCAGGCACATTATTGGGACAAAGGGTTACATGTCTCCAGAGTATTTGGAAAATGGATTAATCTCTACAAAGCTTGATGTTTATGCATTTGGGGTTCTTATGCTGGAGATCATTACTGGGAAGGAGGCTGCTGCATTGTGTGGTGAGGGATATATGGACTCATCCAACATCCTAAGCAGAGTGCTGGATGAGGAAAACACAAAGGAGAATGTGAGGCACTTAGTTGACCCTACTATGCAAGAAAATTATCCTTCTGAACTTGCCATTTTTGTAGTGAGATTGATAACCGATTGCTTAAAGAAAGACCCTACAGCTCGCCTGGCAATGGATGAAATTGTGCAGTGTCTCTTAAGAATCCTGGCCAGTTCATTGTCATGGGAAACGTCAAGGAAACAAAGTGTTGGTGGGAGCTATTGATAGCACTGCGATGGAAATGGAGTCTTGGACTAGGTTTTGTCAAAGATAGCAGTTTACAGTTATGCTTTTTAATTTGTAACTGTTCTTTTTAGTTTTCTGCCATTAGTGTTTATGTTTTCTGGTAGTTTTCTTTTGCAAAAACTGCTATGTACGAGTTGTATATATTTTCAGCAACTCCTATGTCTTCAGATGAATCTGAAATGAAAGAGAGCTCCATATCAGAGAAGCTCTAGTTCTGAATTTTTGGAGTCCTTTGTTAACTGCTTCTAGATCAGAAACTTACAGTTTCTGTGAGTTAATAGCTAGTTTTGTTATCTTCTCTCATCTTTCACTCCTTTTTCTTACTTTTTGTTGCATAATGAGTTAAGTTGATTCATATCGAATTTCAGTTCTTCTGTTATGACTTCTCAGATGTATATAACTTACTGAAATCTTAACCAATATTTATTCTAGCATGATAGTTCTTTTCGTAAAGAGTTGTGCCATATAAAATGTTTCTGAATTTCATTCTGCCTTCGAATTTCCAGAATGAAGAAATTCAAATCTACAAAAGAAGAAACCATTCTCTCTCCATTTATCATTATATATCTTATTTTACCCTAATTTCATAATTTCATATATATATTATATATATTAAGAGTACATTGTAACAGTAAACGCAATTTACACATGCAAATGTGCATTTCCATTGCTTATTCCCCATACCTTTACCCATATTTATCTATACCGCTCTTTCTCCTATAATACAAAATATTATGGACTGGGGTGTTCTGAACCGTTTAACATGAAACACTGATTATCACATACGCATCCTGCAATTTGTAATCAGAGAGGAAAATTTCCTGTCATCTGAATATGGTCAAGAGTTCTCCTTAGCCCAAATCTATTAACTGCCTCGTTGCCTTGCCTAAATCCACCTCCATAGGCAGGGGATGTATCTGACTCGATCTGGTGCTTGAAAAACTCACCAAGCTTCTTCTCGAAGTCAGACCGTTTACCTTTCTTTGATGATGTTGAGGAGGAGGATGATGGTGATGATGAAGATGATGATGCTGCTGACGATGAAGCATCGCTACCAGACCCAGAGTAGATCTCAGAGTCCAACCACATATATGCCAACACTTGACAGATACCTTCCTCCACCTCTGGACTCAGATTGCGGTAACCTGTCAGACACCACACTCCATTAGTACTTTCTGTCCTGTCATTATAAAAATGTTGGTATTATTGCCACGGTATCCATAATAATAGGACAGATAAAAACCTTTCAGCCTAAGCCAAGCATGCATCATTTCATGAGCAAGGATGGACCCAGTCAATAACCTGTATTTATTGAAGAATTTTTAGGCCATGTGCTTCAAACCTGCTGGTAACTCTGGATGGCATCACATTCAGAAAGAAAACAAAGGGTATTTATTACCTTGGAAGGCCATACAAAACAAGAATAGCTGTAACTTCACATCTACGAATTAGCCTATAAGGCTCGGTAATAATGTCTATCAACCGATAACCTGGCCCAAGTCTTGGCCTCCTTAAAACCTGGTAATTTGGGTGAATGAGATTTCAGATTAGACAAAACACTTCTTGATGAAACTAGATGATGCATTTTAGGGGTAAAGAGAGTGAAAAGAAATTCATACTGTAGTGACTGTCTGTTCTTCGGACAAGCAGAGTCCTCTGGTCTCAGGTAAGTGATGGTGACCCTGCCAATGGTTAGACAAATATGATAAACCAAATGGTAATGAAAGGAACAAAAGATTAATTCCTATGATAATTGAACTTCAATTTAAGCATACATTCTTTTCTCCTTCCATTGCTTCATTAAGTGCTTGTCTCTCAACCAAGAGTAAAGGAATTTGTTGCTCTACTTTCATGTTTAAACCTTCATAAAAATCTTGTATTTCAAGATACAGGGGCTGGCATTCATGAGTATCAATTATTGCGGAATCTAGACACTCCAGACACAACTTCCGACCATCATCAAGCAACAAGTATTTCGTATCCCTTGACTGCACATGTTCCAATGTTAAGAAAATAAATAAGAAAATGCCTTCACATAATGAAAATATAGTTCAGGCCCCAACCCCAACCCTCACCCCTTGCTCTTAAGAAAAAGGAAAGGGAAGTTTAGATTTGTTTCAAAAACTCACCTCCATTCTCTCACAGCTGCAACACCGAGGAGTCCCATCACGCTCATGCGAGGGGCAGTACTTCTGCCGCCAGAAAGGATGTGCCCTGTACTCAATAAGACCAGCTGAATTTGTTGGGATCTGTAAAAAAAAAAGGGGTGTTGAAAGGCATTTAATTCATCTGATTGACTAAGAAGAGATATAACTAGACATTCCTCCTATTTTTAATAATTAAACCTGATATAATATCAACATAAGCTTGACAATTAGAAAGCAATGAAAGCAAGCCGGGTAAGGAACCCCTCACTAGATGGCTGTACTAAAGCCTTTATATAGTCATCAGGAGAGCTTTGAGTCACTTGTATTCAAATGTTCATAACCAACCATACAACTGTACTATTTTCATGTTAAAGTTAAGTGCCTTAGCAGGAAATTGATAGTATAGAGAAGTTTCTTTATAAGTCTTCACTGAAATGTTTCACAATATCAAATTTTACTAGAATAAACCTTCTGTTCCTTCTACTAAGTAGCAGGACTGTTAATTATCTCTGCTACTCTGCTGCAATGCCAAAAAGTTGCTTAAAATTTAGCATCAGTAGTTTTTGTCTGCACCACCCAGCTTGTATAGAGATCTATTAAATATCACACAGTTAATAAGGGATAGCAGATGTATGGTTAAGCATTCATATTAGATAGAATAAACCAGATGAGAAAACTAGCTTAGGCAAAATACGTTTATGGTGTTACCACTGAACTAATACTTACAAAGTTTTTGCAAACATCACATCTTGGATGATGGCGCTCCTTATGGCAGGATTTATGATAGGGGCGATTCCCAGACATTGAAAACTATCACATAGAAGGAACCTAAAATTAGCCTTATACCCCATTGATCACTTAATACCCCTAAACTCATTAGCACTAAGTAAAAATTAGCAAATGACATAAAGCACAATGTTAAACAAATGGTTAAAAACCAAAAGTATCAAACTAAACTGGCAGAGATTTAGACCTCATGATCAGTAATTGGCTGGTTGCAAGCATGGCAACGGAAGCATTCGGGATGCCAAACAGCACCCATACAACTCAAGTATCGTCCATGGCCAATCTCAGCATTGCAACCTGCACAAATCCTGGAAGCAGAAGCTTTTAGAAACTAAGTTTCATATTACAGTCATGAAGGTCATGCACAATCTAATTATGAATGTTAGAGACATCAAAAGTATAATCTTCTAGAGCTACCCATGGCCCCCAACTATACATTCTATAGAGATAAAATCTTAAATTCTGAACTCTCAAAACTCTTGAGAGTTCAACTAATTTAGAACTTACATTCATGCAATGGTTCAGTTACTGACCTAGATATTTAAAAAGACTCGATTACCTGTAGCCAGGTGGAAAAAAGAATGGATAAGGCTGAAAGATGTTTCCATGATCATATCGAGGAGGAGAGTCAACATATAGGCTTTCTTGAAGAGCCCTAGCAAATTGTTCATCGTCTTCTAATTGAAGTTTAGCATGTCTTTCATCTTCCCCTTGAAATTTGTCGGGTGGCTTATCTTCCTCAACATGAGCTATACCATCTTGTTCTTCATCATCCTCAACATAAGCTATACAATCTTGTTCTTCATCCTCCTCTGACTCATGTTCAGATTCATCTTCTATTAAGTTAAAGGGGGGGAAATGAAATTCAGTATGGACATAACTCTCTCAAGAGAAAACCCATGAACATATTGAAACAACCAATTTTTTTACAAAGAAACTGGTTGGAAAATCAGGCATCCCCTCCCTTCTCTCCAATATTCTTATAGAAAAGTTGCATTTAACTACTGGCACAAATAGTTTAGTCTCAATGATGAAACCTTACCGATTACTTTTTTCCCTTTTTCATCTGCTTCTGAAAGAGAAATTGCAATAGCACAATCAATTTCTTCTTTGTCAAAACCTCCTGAGTCCTGCACCAAGTTTTGCACCATAGACTCAAAGAGTTAACACAGTAAAAACTTGGTACAAATTTTCCAGGATATAATATACATGACTACTGGATTGCAAAAGCATGTGATTGCTTATAAAAAAGAGTTTTAACATATATTGTTTTATCCTTCCATACAAGCAGAATGTAGGAATTAGGAAGACCATGATTAGGAGCAACAACAGAAGATTAAAAAAAAAAAACAAAAAACAAAAAAACGAGGAGAGTGGTTACTGTTGAATGACGAGGCTCCTCCAAAGTTCTATTATCTCTGTGTCTCCCACGATAGTGTCCATTATAGCCAGAACCTTTAAGAATCTTGGTCAGCCAATCCATACTGTGAAATAGTACTATTTGCTTTCAGATATGCAGGCTTCCACCTGCACGCGAGTTATTCATTTAGAAATAGAAGCACATTCCGGCAGATTGAGGAAAAAATAAATGTCATTATTACTCCAGAGAAGGGGGGCGGAACCCCAAAACCTATATAATAACATTGGTAGATTAAAGGAAGAAGAAGAGGAAAAAACCACTCAGATATCTAACACCATTAGGTAGCCAGCTAGCCATATCAAACCAAAGAGAAATCGTAACCATAAGGCCTGCCAGAAGCATTAACAAACTTTCTGGATTTTAATTTGCTGCATATGTAAATACGAGTTTCAATTCAATCCAATCCAATCCAAAATAACCAATTTCTCTACAAAAAAAATAAAAAATTCAAAGTAAATGAACAAAGAGACAATCCTAAAACAGCCGACGAAATGCAAATATCAGCAAACATGATTCAATTCATTGAAAACCAAATCTGTGTTTTTAACAGTAGCCAGAAAGAAAACCCCACACAGGTGAACCTGCGAATTTCAAAAGACCCACAAGTACCCTATCAACATCAAAATCTCAAGTACCAGAAATTCACCTGAAATGGATGAAAATTCAGCAGAAACAAAAGAGTTGGATGAATCCCAGATCAGCTACAGCAGCCAGTTCCCGTGAATGCATAGTCACCAAATTAAAGGAAAACAAAAACAAATTCCCAGCTGCATCCTTAACTACCGTCGACCCTGAAAATCAATGAGCCTTTTACGATGATCCAAAAGCCAGGCGGACGTTTTTACTGAAAGATAGAATAGAGAAAGCAAGGGAAGAATAAAAGGGGGAACTTGAATCTTACGCAAAGCCCATGCTTTAAAAAGTGGCAATCTTTGGAGTTTGATTTCCTTAAAAACCACTGAAAAAGCTGAATTTTGAAGATGGAGGTATCAAAAACCCAGATGGGTTTGGTGAATTGTTGCCTTTGGAATGTGGGTACTTTCAATGCCCATTTTCCACCACACTCCACTAAATGTCAAAACATCATGAGTAATGAAGCTTTTCTGGTTGAGGTGATAACGAAAGGGAAAGGATGGAATTTCACAATTCCCGAATCACCTAGTGGACGTGTTGTCACTCCGGTTTACTTCCCGTCGTCGGTGAGTCACCCATGTCCGGGCGGCTACCCCACCTTTTCTAGTGACAACCGGCCCTCGATGCGATCTTGCCACGTGCCATTACTTTTACCGTTAATAGAGGGTGAAAGGTGAATCTTGATATCAAAATTTTTTTATTAATAATTAAATGAAATGTAATTTATTGAATAACTTGTTTCGGTTAGTGATATTAGATTTTGAACTAAAACTGTTTATCTCTTGTAAGTATTTGAATTTTATGAAATTATTATTTTTTAATTAATATATAAATAATTATAATAATTCAAAAAAAGATGAAGTGTAATTTATTTAATAATATATGTTATATAAGATTAGTATTTATTTATGTTTTTATAAAAAT